CAGAATTCCCCAGCCAGCATGCTGGCTGGGGAATTCTGGGAGTTGAAGTCCATACATCTTCAAACTGCCAAGGATCAGAAACACTGACCAATGGAGATGCAGTTCTCCAATTTGAGAGTTGCTTACAATTACCATATTATCTATCTTATTTTCTGCTTCAGGAACATAATAGATTCTTGGATGGGGAGGATCCAAAATTACTGCCTCATTTTAAGTTGAACACAAATGTAATGTTGCTAGAGCAGCTGGGGAATCCTGAATAATTGTCCTAGTGATCAATATGAAAAATACCTTTTTTCTTGCCCTGAATCATCTTTCAAATACTGTTCCTGTAACGTTCAGCGTAATTCAGTTAAAGGCCTCATTGGAAGGTACTGGAGACATCCCCAGTGCACCTAACACACACACCAGTCCTCAAAACAGCTTTGCCACTGATTTTAAGATGGTTTTAGTTTTTAAAATTTTGTTGGTATGCATGTCAGTGTTTGTGCACTGGCACATACACAAAGGGCACTTAAAGTCTGTTTTTCCATAAGGCAGGAGCCCCATATAAAGCACATAAAGGAGGAGTGGTAAGATGGTGGCTGAACAGGTAGCCATCTTCCTGTGTTTCTTCATATATCTTACGGAGGGTAGTTGAAAAAATATGATTTGAAGTAATTGTGTTTGTGCTTCCTTACCTTCTGTAGTCATGCATCCCGCCATGATATTCTGTTTCAAAGATAGGGTGCGAAGGCAAGATCCCATTGTAGGCAAAAGTACTTCAATAAGTACTGGGATTATCTGCAGGTAGTTTTCTCTGCAGCTGGATATGGAGGTGAAAAATGACTTAGAACCAGGGTATCTGCTACCTTTCCCAATCACTCATAAGGATTTGTCATTTGTTTGAGCCTTTGACCCCCAACTCCTCCTTTTTTATGGCTAAGCTGGGGTTGTAGGGCTATTGTATCAACAGCCCTATCACCCCAAAGACACTGCAGTCTACTCTTGGGATTACAGTTTGTTTTCCTTCTCCAAAATGAGCTCCAGATCTAGCTCTGGTACCAACAACGAAGATTTCTGATCTGCCCTTCGGAAGCTAGAATGACTTGCTTGGGAACAGGACCTCCTCAGCTGAAAAGTGTCTTCTTGCTTTTCTCTGTACAGAGTTGTCGGATCACAAGGAAAAAGTGTCGAAGCTTGCTGGGCTGATCCAGAGTCTGCCTCAACCAAACCGGGACACACTGCGTTACTTACTGGAGCACCTCCGCAAGTAAATTACTCACCTCTTATTTGTCCATTAACAATTTCTATCCTGGCAGAATCAGGCTTTTGTTGTTAAGTCCCCTTTTGGTCTTTGATAGCAACACAAACAAGCAAAATCACTAGAAATTAAAAATAGCAAAAGGAAACTAATAATTAAAGCTCTCTTCCACAAAGCTAGGAACCAAAGCAGATGAACTGAAGAGCAATTAATCACTCCTATCCTTGAACAAGAAATGATAAAAAGAGGAAGCTATTAATTAAAGGTAGAATACACTAGACAGACTGGCCTTGCAACTGCATCTTATTATGCATATACCACTGGAAGCTAAGTCTGAAAATTCAGGATACTGGGATCAGAGTTTAAAAATAAAGTATCCATATTCACACGTATAGATTTTCCTGCATCTGAATACAGCACAACTGGACTATTCTACAGCTGAGCACACTGCAAAACTGGCATCCCTCATCCGTAGTGCATGTTGAAAGACCAGTCTGTTATTTATGAAAGTTTATTAGCTGATGCCAGTGGAACAATCTGGCCTGTACACCTAAAGAAGACAGGTAATAGGAATACAGAGGTAACTCTTCACCATAGTTACAAGTAAACAAACTGTCTTTCTTCTTCATGAACTCTGATTATTAAATATACAATATGAAAAAAACGAGGAGTGCTTACTGGGGATGGGTCAGGCTTGTTACTGTGAAACAGAATACTGTATAGCTGTCAGTTCCACTAGGTAGACCAGACCATGAAATTAACTCCACAGGATGGATAAAAGTATTTTTATTGAAATGGGCTATAGTAACAGAATATTGCAAGGTGGATTTTGCTGTACCTCCTCCTCCTCCTTATACATTAGGAAAGCATCTGCTTGAACCACCTCCAAATGTTGCCTTGTTATTTTGCAATTAAAAATGCTTCAACCCTTTTTGTTTAGGTAGCAGTTCCTGTATATTTTCATAAAGGTCATCTTCCTTACTCTCTACAATAGTCTGTCCAGTAGCTGCATTCAATTTTGCTAAGGGCTGTGGATGTGGCTATCCCTCCAATAGAATGGGTGTGGTGGAGAGACATGACAGTTTATAAGCCAACTTGACAGTGGCCGTAATCCACCTACCAACTGATTATGGTAAAGCATATAGTCCTCATTTGAGTAAAGCTCCATAGATTAACTGGCACTGAGCCTGTTGAAGAAAAGTTCTCTTGGATAGATAAAAATCAGGCCTCTGGAGGTGTCTACATAACCTAATGATTCTAATGGTTTAAGAAGAGGATGAAGAAGAACACAGATAATATGATGGTCTGGTTAGCATGGAAAGGTGAAACCACATCTGGTTGCAGAACTATCTTGTTTGTATGAAAATTTGTAAATGGAGAACAACCACAATGTTGCCTTGTTCTGCAGGCAGAAATTGTCAACAAAAAGGGAGACCTTCTTGTTAGTAACCTCATGTCAGAGAAGTCAAGTGGCTGAAAGGAGTTTGTCATTAATGTGGAGAGAGCACAAGAGAAAGGCTCCAGAAGGTGTGGAAAGGAGTGATTCCTTCTGGAAACTAGAAAACAAAGGAATGTGAAAAAATTGGGAAATCACAAACTAAAAGTGAAAAACATAGAGGTCAGCCAAAAACTTTTAAGGAAGATAAGAGGAAATCTTTACTGTGTGTTTGGGTTGATTCTCCAGCTGTAAGACAAAGGGCTTGAGTCTGACTATGTTACTAGTCTCTTCATGGCTTTTTAGTTTGGTGTGAATGAATGATAGCCTCTAATATGTCCTGTAAGTGAAGGCAGCACTTTACCAGAGACCATACTTGTTGTGGCCACCAGAGTGTTAATTATAAGCTTGATCCCAGCAAGCCTTGTCAAAGAACTTTATCAAGAGAGGAAAGGATGGAAACAGGTACAGCATATACTGTATCTTAACCATAGACTGAGAAAGGGAATCATGACCTCTGCTGGTCCTGCAACAAAACTGTGGGAACTGAGCATTTTTCATGAGGCAAAGAGATCTACGTTAGGGCACATAGTTTGGAAGAAAAGATTAGAGCGATGACTACTTCCTACTCATAGATATTGTTGTGCTTAAGGCTGAGGTGATTGGCCAAAGTGCTGCCTGTTCCCATCAGGTATTTTATTATGAATGCTATATCCCAGTACTATATCCGACTTATAGCATCAGGTGGAGAAGAGTTAGATACTTCATATCTCCTTTTTCATTCAAGTAGAAAATATCAGTGGTTTTGCTGTTGCAACTTGTACCACACTGCCAGATAGAAAGTTCTTGAAAGACCTGCAGGCTTTGAATATTACCACTGATCCTGGGCACTGATGGAGAGGTTGTTCCAGGCAGTCCCATCTCCTCCTGACCATAGTTGTGATGGATTCCCAACTTCATACAGAATCATTAGTCATGAGAACCTGAGAATCTGGTATGAAAGTTGAGTTGAATATTTGGGTTGACATTTCCTGGGAGTGACACAGTGTATCAGATGTGGTATAGTAGAACCTGATGTTCTGCCTTCTGAAAGGGAATTTAAATGGAAATCCTTGCCCCGCATGGATGGTTGAGCAACTGAATGTAAATTTGATCTTGGAGCTAACTTTGAGAATATGGAAATAGAAGTAACAGCATGTCCAAAGTTTGCTTTGTGGAAAAAGTAATTCCACACACTTTGTCTTTTTTTCTCTTATTATGATTTGTTGCCCCTGACTGAGGTGTCCTTGATTGGTTATTTAGCCAAGTCCATTTACTTCACTGGAGTGTGACCGTTTCTTTCACCTATCTGCATAAAGGACTAAGGAAAATAGAATTCAGGTCAATGAAAATGAGTTTCAGCATGTTTTGTTTTAGAAATCAAATCCTAATTAAATCTGTCTGTCTGCTTTAGCAGTGGATACATTGAAAGGGAACCAAAATAGTGTGATGTTCTCATTCGGCTTTTTTCCCCTTCAGGGTGATGGATCACTCAGATACCAACCGGATGACAACTCAGAACATTGGCATTGTTTTTGGGCCAACACTGTTGCGACATGAGCGAGATGTAGCCAGCCTGGTAGAGGACATGGTATACCAGAATCAGGTGGTGGAGCTGCTTCTTAGTGAATTTGCTAGCATCTTTGTGACCACAGGTGCTGAATGACTTTGTTGATGTTTGTCTTGGATATGGATTTCTTTATTCTCAAAACACATTGGATCACAGATAATCTATTTCTGGAGCAAGCACTGGTGCTGTGAAGCTCTCTGCACCAATCACAGCAGCATAGTTTGCCATCATCTTCAGGACTATGTTTTATTAGGAAAGATGGATCTCTGCATCCTCCCACTCCAAGATTTTTTAGCTGGTCAAATTTTTAAGCTGGTATACCTTAGCAAAAATATGTCATATTCATACCCAAGTAAACAACAACCGGTGAGAATCTCAAAGAGAAACGTATGGCTAGCAGCAGTTTGACTTTAGTCTCCCAAATCTGACGCAACTATTTAGATGCAGATTCCAATCCTGACAAATCTGTGAAGAATAGGAGCATTTTCATTCCATAAATTATTGTGCATTCCATGCCCTTGGGAGAGTCCTTACACTCTCTCCATATGGACTGATGCCCTTGTCATGCCAGCCAACCTAGACTTTACAGTCTCCTATCCAGTGTAGCAACCAAATAATTTCTGTACTCTTGAAACCGTAATCCTTCAGGATTGCTTTCCCCAACTTGCTGCCTGTCAGATGTGTTGGACTACAAATCCCATGAACTTCTGCTAGCACAGGCAAAGTCTTTTTAAGGAGATGCCTTGTAACTCATTATTAGGGCACATGAGTTTTCCCCCAAATAAAATTGAAATTCCCTTTAAAATTGCTAACATTTCTTGCCAAATAACCTGGGAATCATGGTTTCATCAAGGTAGTGTTTGACTATTTCTTTATTAACAGAGCCTCAGTCCCTTTACAAAACTATCATTTAGAATTGTTTTGAAAACAAATCAATATGACTCTGAGTCCTCTGGCTAACACAGCCTATGACCTATCATTCTCAGCGAGATTTGTGATCAGCTAAGGAAAGCGTTCAATAATAAAAGAATTGCCAGATAATCCGTCTCTTCTCTATTATTTTAGGCTGAAGCTGGCATTTTAGGGATCTCATTTATCTTTTAGGTGTGTATTGGGATGAGTTGGGGAAAATTCATTGTTGCTGTTTTTTTCCTAGCAGATTTTTCATGCCTTTAACAATTTTATAAATGTCCAATAAGAGGAAGTTACCTTTCTCCCATCTGTTCACAAAAAAGTATTTAATTTTTGCCAGCCTTATAGCTGTTAATGGATGGGTACCATCCGAAGGGAAAAAACAAAACAAGTATGTTCCCATTCCCCCTCTCAATCTGAATCTTATGCATAATTTATGCATAAGATTCAGAGATTTGGGATTTAATTCTCCCAAATCATCTTATCTCCCCATCTCAGACAATGAATCCTTTGAAAATCTGACTTGCATTAGAAGAATCAAGTTCAAAAAATTCACGACCGGAGTCCTGTTATCTACACCAGTGTTTTTCAACCTTGGCAACTTTAAGATATGTGGATTTCAACTCCCAGAATTCCCCAGCCAGCAAAGGTTGAGAAAGAATGACCTAAACTAATGAAATGAGACATTGCTGGCCTTAGTGGAAGTTTTTTTTTTTTTTTTAACTGATGGTTTCACATATGGCACTTAAAAGCCTGTTTTGACTTCTTAGCATGTTTTCAGTTTCACATATAAACCTTCTTGATAATAATTCAGTTGTACAAATTCATCAGGAGCATGACCAGCTGCCTATGTTTTAACAAATACACCACTGGGTATTCTCAGGTGCTTTAGAGAGGTCTGTCACCAGCAACTTGCTCAAGCCTTTCTTGACGACTGAACTGTATTCAGAACGAAAACAGTGCATATATAAATGTGTCACCTTAGCACTGAATCACTGTAGATGCTCACTCAGTGCTTCCACAGTAGTCACATAATTCATTTTCTTCCCCAAACAGGGCTGGGAAATTCACACTGGCTGGGTGTGAAGGACCCAGCCAATCAGTACCCTGAAAATCTGGTTCTGGTTTTCACTAGAAATTTGTACAGTGCTAATTAGCTGGTCTTTGTGTCAATTCATGTGTAGAATTATGTATAGTGCTGTGCAGTTGGTTGTGATGCCAATAGAGGAAATTACTTTGATACTTTGAAGAAAAGGATCACCAGGATATGAATCAGATCAATACAAGAATCAGATTCACATCTGATCAATGTAAGAAAATACTATTTCCAACATTAGATTGCACAGTGAGAATAGGATTACATCACTGTACTTCTCCAGGCTTGGAAGCTAAGCAGGGTTAGACCTGGCTAGCATTTGGATGGGAACTCATTAGAAAATGATGATTTTCTTATTTACAATCTAAGCTAGATTGGAAAAGCAAAAGAACATTCTGGAAGAAAGCAATGGCAAACCATTTCTGTATCTTGGCCCAGGAAAGATTGGTGTCATACTCCCTCAGCAATAATTTGCCCGAGAAGTGCTAGCAATAGGTGATCCCTTCTCCTCCCATTGCATTCTTGGGTCGTCTTCTTCCGTTGAAATTACAGCGAGAACTGCATGTGGTCCTGGGACTGGTGGTTCACTTCTGTGGCCTTAGAGAGAAGTGAAATGTTTGGGGACAAAAGCTGTTTACCAAAAAGGAAGGCTTAGTTGATGACCCTCAGTGTCTTGAGCGTCTTGCTGTATTTATTAAATGAACAATTTCGCTTTGCTTTCATTTTTTTTTTCCTGAGGAAATATTTTTATTAACCTTTTATTGGTGCTTTTTTTCTCTAAAAAAGAGAGCGAGAGAGAGAGAGAGAGAGAAAGATTTATAGGTAAAAAATATTCGCACACATATATACTATATACAAACTATCAAAATACATGTCGTCATGATATGCCTAGAATTTGTTCCCCTGCTTTAATACTTCCCTTTGTCCCTTCCCTTAGATGAGGCTCACCCGGGAGAGACAGGCACTGGTTTGGCTTCTAGGCTAAAGTATAACAGAAAGATACAAAATGAAAGCTAAAACAGAAGCAAGGTATATTCTTTGGTTTCTTAGATTTAACTTATATTTTTGCTCTGAAGAAGATGCTTGGGGGTGGGGCATTAGGACAAGTACCATAGTTCATATGTAGAACTATGAGAGAAGATGCTGCCTCAGTGGGAGAGGCGTATCTTCTTGGCGAAATCAGCCCCGGACATCTCGCGCAGGTCCCCTCTCTGAAACCCTGAAGAGCCCCCGTCAGCACGTAGATAGTTCTGAGCCAGGCAGCCCAAGATTCAGCCTTGGTACAAGATAGCTTGCTGTGTTCTGCTGAGGATGTTTTAAAGGGGGATCCCTACTTTTCACTTGCTGGAAAAGAACAAACAAACAAAAATCAGAAATGTCAGGATAGAGGCGGTCAGCGTAGTTGAGAGAACTGAAGATGGCTTGAAAACAGATGCATTATTGGCCTTTGTTTTTATGTTCTCTTTTTTCCATTGTGTGGGGTCCTTCTCTGTCACTTTAGTTCAACAGATTTTTGGAATATTACTAGAACCTCCGAGGCTAATTAAGCAGGGTTGATAGGAGGGATAAGCATACATGCCCCAGACAACGATATTCCCCATTATACTTTTAAGGTTACGATTCTCCCTCTCTCGTCTGCCTCAATGAGCCCCACCGTGTTCTCTTTGCCAGTCTGCCTGATTATATATGGACTTGGAAAAACCAGGAGGGCAAGAACATAAGCTTGCTGACAGAGCACACTGAGCTTCAAAGTTCGGTTCTTGGTCTCACGTAGCTTTAGCTCCTGGGCCATTGCAAGTAGAGAACAGGCCAGGTAAATCTTATCTGACCTAACATAGATTCATACTTGAAGAGTAAGCCTTTCAAGCGCTCCAGATTTAAGGTTATCCACATGCAACCAAAAGATCTTTGTAGTAGGAGCAGTAGGGTTTCTTCTTCATAGCACGATTAATATGGCAGGAGTTGCCTTTCTCCAAAGTTTCTTTGAGACTCGAGCTGTGCACATGGAGGGAACTGCCAGGATGAGCTGCAGCTGCCAGTTGGGACTTTAAAAGGATAGGACTGATTGTTCTCCAGCGGATAGCTGGAAACACTCTAACACAGAATTCTGTTTTCCCTTACTGTACTGATTTGTTCAGCTTCTCTTTCATGGTTTTCAAATTAAGGGATCAAGTATGACAACAGAGTTGCCCTTGTGGCCAAATTGCTGCTTTTGGCAGCCCAGCAGGTGGGATACTTTCCCAGGACCTAAGGCACGCAAGTTGATTTCCAAGTACTTATAAAAGTTGTGGCTTGCATGTGCAACCAGGCAATTACAGCTTTAAGACCAAGAGCTCATAAACGGTTTCAAACACAGTTCATTGCAGCGGTACTACTTCAGCTTCAAGTCATGAAAAGTGTTGTAAAATCCAGTAACGCATATGCCTGTGTCAACCAGTCGTAGCTGATTTGGGATCGAGCGGAATTTACCTGTAGGCTGGGTTAATAAGTGAACTCAGTGTTGGGTGTTTGTTTTCTCTTATAAATTGATTAAACTGAATTAAAAGAAGATTCTTTTGTTCCATAGGCATTTTACTCTTATGTGCCAGTTTGTCCAGCTTTCTATTTAGCCCTCTGCAATGGACATGTGTTTGTTTGTGGCGAGCTGTGGTTCAGGATTCTATTTTTGCCTAATTTCCCATTGTTCCCCAATATATGACAATATATGACAAATCTTTTCATGTTGAAAGGACACCACAGCCAAATCCAACTCCCTGAGGAATGTATCTGTATGCATTTGCAAACATATGCTTCCCACATGGACATCTACTTTTTTAGATACACACCGAAAACATCTTTATCCCAGCCCTCAGAAGATACACACATGGAACTCCTCTCTGTATGGAATCATGGGCATAAATTTTCCATACATCCTCAACCACATTCCAGCAGAGCTAGTCATATACACACATCTGTGTTTTTAAATCTAAAACACAGTGCAGAGAAGACCTTTGATGCAGTGTGGCCAGGTGCCATAATGTTGATTGCCCGCTAAGAGGAGGAGAGGCATGCGGGAAACTGTAAGGTAGGCAAAAGTGACTTTGGCAAGAATTCTGGCAGGACAACAGATTATGTGCATCTTCCCAGCATTGTACTTTTATTATGTTGTGGGTTTTATAATGGTAGTAATTACAGGGTGGGAGCTTATGGCAAAAGATAATTGGTGGTACTTAGAAATGTGAAGTTCACTTTTGCTAGCTTTGCAGATTGGGGGTTCAAATGTGGGAATGGACCTGAATGTGTCTATTATGTATTAGGAGATACATAATACATATATTATGAGACTCAGCAGCTTCCAAGGGTGGGACAATTCTCGTCCTCCAGATGTTGCTGGACTTGTTAGCCCTAACCAGCATGGTCAATGGCCAAGGAGGATGGGATTTTTATTCCAACATCTGGGAGGGTTCTGCAACCATG